AATAAAAGCATGAGACAGTATTTTTTTATAAAATAATATAATATAAAGATAACCGTTATATACTAGTAACTTAAATACGGGTATAACAACCATTACAATAATAAAATACAAAATGTTTAGCATCAGCAGGTATTATACCGAGTAACATGAATTGCTGGAAAATTTGAACAAAATGTACTTGCTGTAATTAAACGGTTAAAACAGAATACAAACAGAAAAGTGCATAGTTGGAGAAACTGAAAACGGAAATGGATCGCAAGTTGTGAGACCAATGAGTAAGATAAAAACGACCAAGGGCGTGGAAGCTTTTTCACTTCATATGTCTCGATTTGAAGGACTATTATGAACCAACTGAATCCTAAGTCATTGTATTAGTTTATGGATTTCAGGTTTTCTAGGTGATTCAATCAGTTTGATAAATTACAAACACGATTTTATTTAGAAAACTGATTTACCAATGCCTATTGGATAAGTTTTGAATAATAGAATAGCAGAACAACTAATTGACTGACTTCATGAACAATATTAGAGAGATAGAGATTTTGATTAGATATAAAATATCCAAATGATTGTATGATTATCAGTATGGAGTTGTAGAGATTATTAAGTTTTGTGATTGAGATCATAAATCGATTGATGCTAGACCACCATTATAAACCTGGAAGCACTGGACGACCATTTCGTCTAAGTATGGGGCTCCTCAGCAGTGCGCGGGACTAGAAGTTAGACATTAACACCACTGGGTGCCGGTTCAGTCGTCCACGCGCGAGACCGAAGGTCCTGTGTTCGGGCCTCGCGTGTGGGATCGTGAATGTGCAGTGTTGATGAGTCCCATATTACGGCAAAATGGCTGTCTAGTGCTTCCAGGTTTTTAATGGTGATCTAACATCAATCGATTTATGATCGCAATCAAGAAAATAAGACTGTATGGTTGGAATACTTTATTCGATGAATGATAAACTTGTGATCAAAAGTGAAAATCGTATTGCAATAAATGTTTATTTCTTTCTAATCCACCATCCTAACGCTAATCTTATCAAACTGTATGGATTCATTTAAACTTATATTCTAAAAAAAACACTAATTAAGCTTGTTTAGTTACGTCATAGAAGGTTTTAACCAATGAAACCCTAAGTAACAATCGATTTCAATAAAAAGCACTAAACACTTATCAACATTTACTACTAAGGTATATTGTCCATATACACTGTCATCTGTAGAGATATATCTTAATGTCATGGTAGGTGGTTTAAAATAGAATCAATATTTAATTTTTGTTTGCAAAGCCATTATATAAAATTATAAACTGGTAGTTGTTGACATCAGGTTTTTTGTCTATAATTTTTAACTAGTTATGAAATGCGCTTTTAACATAACTAATTAATTTCACCTTAACATAGGTTAACTGATTCAAACACACACGCATATATATATTTGTTAGTTTGTAACGCTCTTTTAAGCTCTTAGTAAAGACCAATAGATACTACTTTATGACAGTGTTTAATCCTCAAGCTGAGCTATGATGAGTTTTACGATTACAACATTCAGCTTAGAGAACGCAGCTTCTTTAAAATTCTAATCATGATCAGAAAATCTCCGTCAATTCAACTGATACTCTTAAGACAGACAATGCTCCTTGTCTAGAGTTCAGTATTATCCTAAATATCCTTGTCATAAACTTCTCTCTCATCTGTGAGATGTCGTCTATAATTTTTTATTCACCAAAATTTCCTAATACTGGCCAAGCTGAACCTTTTCCCGTTGTCATATCGCAGAACTAGAGGCGACTTGATTACAGTCTACAAATTGCTTAATGATAAATTTGCACCTAACATGCCCTCATTTTTCTTGTCTTCCAAAACAGAGAATTTACGAGGACACTCCAAAAAAGTTCATAAGCCGAGAACAAATTACTTGTCAGCTGACTATCGACTTTCCCATAGAATCATCAACGAGTGGAATTCACTACCTCAGCACGTGGTTGAGGCTCCATCCATCGACTCTTTCAAAAGAAAGTTGGATCAACTGAGAGACCACCATTGCCAGGACTAACATAGGCCATCGAGCCTCCTGTCCTTCCCCAACTGAAACTGATATCATGATGAAACGTGCCAGTCAATATATTACAAAACGTCATGAACATCATGAGCACATAGATTAATGGTCAAATGTACTGTAAATTAGTCACCTATACATATATGAACTAAATAACTTCAAAACAACACATGAAGAAATGACTACGATTGCCCACTATTATTACACTAAATATTTTGAGGAGTCTCGTCATAGCATGTATCCAAAACTAGGGAGTTTTGTATATGAAAAGGAATAATAAGTCCACGCTACAACTTAATTAAAATCATAAAAAAGAAGTGACTTGAGAAAAAGTTAAATATTAGATCTTACATCCTGTGACTACATGTAATGTTAGTGGTCCTTCATTTCAACCATATAGTATAACAGTATAAGGTTGTGGAGATTACTAATTTTCTCATTGAGATCACGCACCGATTAATATTAGAATACCAATGAAAACCTGGAAACACAGGACAGTCGCGTCGTCCACTTGCAGGAGTAGTGAACGGCATTTCGTCTGAAAATTTAAGGAAGTTTTGGAGAAGTATCTACAGTGTTTTACATTTCTTTTAGTTTACAGGAAAATTGTATAAACCACTAACACGCAACTTTGTGCCTGATGTTGATTGTTGTTAATTTAAGCCTCATTAGAATTCTACTGTTTGTAAGTTAAGCAGAAAGTAGATATATTCAAAACATATCAAGAAGAAACAAAACACTCCTAATCTTTTATTAGATTGTTAACACCTTATAATTCAGTATTGGTTTGGAGAGAGACTGAACAGGAAAGACTATCCTGAGATGAACGGCTTCATTGTGAACACAGGCTAGCATCAATGCCTAGGTAATTATACAATAACTCCGATATAAACACATACTTCTGTAAGCGATTACGTCATAATTACTAAGACTTCCCGAATATTCTTCTCGTGATCACGTGAACAGCAGGAATCTTTAGCTGCAAACTAACGAAAGTTACTTAAACACTACTCACTTTCCCATATGCAAAAGTTATTGAGGAAAGTGGTCATAGCAGTCTTACTTGTGTATTTCCACACAAATAGCTGACATTTTCTGTTCAATATACATTAGGCTACTATAAAATCAATTTCTTATTCACTTTAAACATAAAGTGATGTTATAACATCGACATTCAGAAAGAAGCTTAAACATATCCCATAGGTGTAATAACTCCGCTGCATATATACACAATGAACAGAGCATTTGTCAAGCTTCACATTATGACGCATATCAACCAAAACAGTTGCGAAAACGAACCCCAAATACCGCAGAGGGGGAAAAACTAAGTACATAAGACGTACGATTTGAACTGCGACCACCTTTCTATAGTACCTAATGAACGAAATGCATCAGAACAGAGGTAAGAACAAAGGAACGCCGAAATAAAACACGACTGGAATCATCGGTCACATTAGCTTACATATGAGTAGAGAACTAATAAACAATCAAACCCACAAAAAGTTACAGCCTTCACAGACTTTAGCCAACAAACAAGTGCAAAAAAGACAATGAATCTTCGCGAACCGAAAGATCTAACTAATGGAGATGCCTTGCACCTCTCCCGACAACTTAATGTTCGTTTTAGACCAGAGCTGAATATTTAGTTCCTGACCATCTCAGAACATACTTTCATCGTGAAAACGTGGGTTGAGAGCAGATTCATCACCACTAAATCTGGAATCTACTTGACCAGCTCGATGGCATGGCCTCTCATCTAATCTCCAAGTTTTATTCGGGACGTATTACTGCGTAGTGTTTCATCTACTTCAGAAACACAGGAATAATTTGCACAGTAGCTGACGATGAGTCGTCAGACCGGTGTGATCTGTGCCCTCCGCGAAGTAGGCGACCGCTTGACATCGCAAATGGTCGACACCCCCCAGCGAGTCCACCTCACCTCAAACCTCGAGGGGAACTCGCAACTCGGAGTGCAACTGTGAGTTGGGTTCCCATCACACATCCCACCCCTTAAACCCAGCCAACACCTGTAGCACACTGTAGTCTCGGGAGCTTTTCAAAAGGTCTGAGGGAACTTGACAATCCCTCAGTGATCCAAAGTAACACCCCACTAGTTGACAAGCACTCTCCTATGCTCCTGCCTGTTTCATATACAGGAACACCGACGACTTATCGCTACGGGACGTGAACGCCGGTATGAGATGAATCAGTGAACGAACTGTCGCGCGAAAGAAAAGACTAGTCCCACTTGTCCACCCAAACCCGTGTAACTCACCCAGTCACAACCGTAATAAAAAAAGAAGATAGTTGTACATGCGGAATTAATCCGTAAATTTATTTTTGACAATGTTTCACAGCATACATAACGATGGTTCAACCATACAAGTTTCCGAGTCCATTGCGTCCCACGCCGCGGACGAGTGTCAATCCTCCAAGGGGCACCGCGAGATCTGCAAAACCACTCAAAAATTGTGAACAAAGTGAATGGATACCCTGGTTTCGACCTTGCTACATGCCTTTCTGGACCCAAATTTACGGCTCTACAACGAATTTTAAAACTGCTCACTTTCAAGTGCCTGACATAGTGACAGGCCTGCTTAACACAAGGGGCTGGAAGACCTAGCAAGTCAACCTCGTCTCCCGCCCAACAAGCATCCATCTCCCTCGTCACTACCAATTACAAAACTCATAACTCAAAAGACTAACTGGCTTCAACACTTTTATTTCCTTTAATACTAGTGACAAAGCTGGGTTAAAAAATGACGCTGCATGGGCTTATGCAATTATGATACGAAACTTTACACTTAACGATGAAAGTCACTCTTGATTGGATGCTAACTCACAACGGACATGACAGTTAAAAAGAACGCTCGATTGCACATGCAGTGAAAATTAACAGTTAACAGTATATACACAGTGAATAATAGGATCCCTGGCCTCCTCAGCTATAGACAGGCTGTCGACTTTCTGCTGGCTGACCTAGAACTTGAGGGCGCTAGGACAACTCTGTCTCCTCTGCTAGTAGAACTGCCTAGACCAAACTGTTGAGGCCATACTAACCCTGCAACGGATATGAAGAAGCAATTAGACGTTGAAAACATGCTCATACTAAGAAATTCTTACCTGACTGAAATTAACGGCGGCCATAGCCCCCTATGTGGAAGACAGATTAGTTTGGACGGAGTGTGAACTTACCTCCATAGGGAGCATTCCTCTGGTAACCGCCTGGTGGGCCACCGCGCATCGGACCACCGGCATAGTTTTGTTGGTTCCCGTAGTGCCCAAATCCATCACCCATTCCTCCCTGGCCCCAGCCAGGACCATCTCCATTCATGTGATTTGGACCCCAACCCCCTCCGTAATTCCCACCCCCGTAGGCACCGCCACCACCACCACCGTTTGAGCCATATCCACCATAAGGACCACCTAGTCGATAGAACCATCAAGTAAACTACTCACCTCCGTAGGAACCCCCGTAACCTCCGTCATACCCGCCATAGCCTCCACCCATCGGTCCATAACCGCCGCCGCCACCGTAATTGTTATTGTAGTCATTTCGGGACTCTTGCTTCTTCTTCATTGTGTTGATTTGCTCTTTACTGAGAGCCTTCTTTACGTCTGCCCTACTGGATCCGATATGGTGTGGTTTATACAGTATAGCTTTATCAACAGGGTCGTAATCATCAAACGTGACGAATCCGAAACCGCGTGACTCGCCCGACTCCTTCCAAGCAACAACCTCACACTCAGTGATGTTACCATACTTGCTGAAATATTCACGCAGTTCTTCATGAGTTACATCTTTTTTCAAGCCACCTACAAACAGCTTCGTTACAGTCATGTGGGACTCGGGACTATTTGAATCTTCACGCGGCATAGCTCTCTTGGCTTCAACGGTTTTACCATCAATTTCATGTGGTCTATTAGCTTGAGCAGCATCCACCATTTCTGGTTCCTTGTAAGTGATAAAACCAAAACCCCTGGAGCGGTTGGTTCGACCATCTTTCATCACCACAACATCGACAATTTCGCCCCACTGTGAATAGAAGTCCTTCAGCTTGGCTTCTGTAGTAAGAGGAGTCAGGCCTCCAATGAACAGCTTGCGGAATTGTTCAGTACGACGGTCGTTGTTTTCAGAGTTACGTCTTCCCATTTCGTCAACCACGGAAACAGACAGTATGAACTGACAGTATGGCAAACGGATGTAACCTCACCGCAAATTGACTAAAACAAAATCAGGGAAACATAAATATCTCTATATGTGCCTTAAACTTCCGTTATGTTTTTTGGTGGATATTTTGCCCGCAAAATAATATGATTGTGATTGTGTCTGTCACTATCATATGAGTCGAACAACTGTTCAATGTACTATGAAGACTGATGGAGATCGTGTCATTAATCACTAGTTCGTAGGTGTGCTAAAGGTAATTGAGCGATTTTAAAGCATGCACTGAGTATTTCAAAACTGCTAAAATCTGAGTCTGACGGTCATGGCTGTCAATGACCGACGATTTGCTAATGGGACAATACTGACGATCTTGTTGACCAACCGAGCTAAAACTCCTGATTTTGTCGGACAGAAATGATGAATTATTTGTCAGTTGAAATAAACTTCTGAGTGGCACCCTCGGTAACCACAGAACTAAAGCATCAGAATTACCCAAGGCTATATCGTGTAACACTCACTAACGCTACAGACGAAGAGGATATCCTACTAGCTAGTTACTTACTGAAATCAGATGAGAATGCAAGAATATTCCCTGACATACAGTATCTTGAGCTCGTTCTCATCCGGAACATATCTAGGCGATCTCGCGAGACGTTTTTCCGCGGAAGAAATATCATTGTGAAAGGTGTGCCGGAAAACCCGGTCCCTGACCATATAAACTCCGATATTAGGGAATGGAAATTCATCAAGCAATCCCTGGAGCTCAGAAACATATTGACTCAACAAGTGATGAGACTAGCCATGAAGGACTTAATTTCTAGACCTCGGCTAATGAAGGTAGCCTTCCCATCCTACCATATAGCAACTGCAACTCTGGAAGCATTTCGTGCCAACAGACGTCGGTTGCCATCTGAAATCAATGTGGATCCGAATAGGCCACATGACGCCAGGATCAAACACAAAAGCAAGTTGGAGCTGACCATTCCACTTGTGAACGGTCTTGATCATAAAAGACGTGGGAAGGACAGGGGCTACCTACTCGGGAAAAATTGTATAGGTAGGCTATCTGTCTATCCACATATGACTCATACAGACAAACAGAATGGGGAAGCTCACTCGTTTTAAATTGAAAGAATAAACTGCTTCTACATGAACGCCACGAGTTTACCGAATAAAATGGATGAGCTACGCGAACTCAGTAATGCTAACGATATTCATTTGATAGGAATATCTGAAACCTGGATATCTAGTTGGTTTACGTACTAGGAGCTAGCAATACTCGGTATATCTTTGTTTCGCAATCACATAAAAACAGTAATTAGAGTAGCCTTATTCTTACGATCACGCATGGAGGTATATCAAGTGCACAACCAAAAGTTTATCAATCTTGATGAATTTGTATGGTGCTCAGTAAGATTGTTTACCACCTCTAGGTGTCTGGTTGGAGTCATTTTGTTGAGGACGTTAGATCCCCAAAACTGATATTTTGTAATTTTATCTTTGTGGAGCTTGTATGCAGATGTACGCTTGGGTATTTCTTACCACCCACGCACACAGTCAATTGACGAACTTATCGATTAAATGTTTAGAAAATACCATGGCAACGTTGATTATATCTATATTTTTATAAATACGCTTGATTTGTGTGCTTGAGGGACCTGGTATCTTCTGGTTGTCTGCACAATACACTTTTCTACATTTTACAAAGACTTCTGGATCGAGTTAGCTGAGTCGGGAATAACGGACCATTATAGCCTATCGAGTCGCTGAATCCTTGATTCTTCATTCCGTTCCGAGTAAAACGAATCAGTAGTAGCATTCAAGTTTAACGAACATAACACATTTATAGGAAGCCCACTGCTGAAATCGAGTATGAGAATCGTATGCTGGAAGGATTATCCCGATCTACTCGTCTCGGATTCTTCATATCTTGATTCTAGGAGACGTTAATCTTCCTAAAGTCAGTTTAGCGGAACATATGTATATTGGAGGTGAGAAATCTAATGAAGCTCGTTTCTTCAACCTCATTGGGAATCTGAGATTATTCGGAAATATGAAGTCGGCAACTCGTTTGAGAAACAGTCTTAGGCCGTCGCGCTTGAACTACGTATTTACAAACTAAAAATTCCTAGTTGACAATCTCTCAATCCTAGCTCCCCTGGGGAGAAGCAATCACGCCATCGCAGTTCTCAGTTTTATCAGTAAAACTGAGCCGAGACATCCCGCCCACAACAGGCTCTGGAATTTCAAACGTTAAATGTGTCAGCTTTACAGGACAATCTACAACAGATGGATTGGGAAATTCACACTCAACTTGATGTAGATGCTTATTGGGATTCCTTACTGAATACGATCTTATGTGCTACAAAGCAGTCTGTTCCTCAACTGGTCCCCATAATCTACAATCAACCAACGGTCATCAAGTACTACACTCTTTGGTTGCTAAGCCACAAAAGGGGCTGTTGGGCAGAATACAAACAGACTGATAAAAACGGCGCGCACAGGCAATACAAACATATAAGGAACATATGCAAAAAGGCAATAAGAGAAGACAGGCTTCAGTATTAGATAAAGCTTATCGATAAATTTGTCTCTCATCCGAAAAGTTTATTCCATGATGCAGCCTCTCTTTGACAGGCCAGAACTAGAGTTTTTGATGGAGTTTTGTTCTCTGAGCTGGATGGTTTGTTAGTGGAGCTTTCATCGTTCTTCTGAACACGACATCATAGGCTCTCTCCATTTCTAGACCGAAATGGACTTCAAGTTCAGTTTGCCTTATTTTTCCTACTTCGCAGTTGCATTAGTTAATTTCGACACCCTATTTCTCCACTTGAAGTAGACAGGTAACTCACTCGACCTATCGATACTGTTCAACTAAGCTGGGTCGCTAAGGGACACTCATTACTACCCTGAAAAGTCAAGAGAACCACACAATCTACTGCCTACTACCAGTGGTCTTGTATCTATGTGGCCTGTTACCCACCAACTGGTTAGGACAACACAAAATAACATCATCACCAAGTTAGCGTGAGTTTCTTCCTGTTTATTCTTTTTTAGCCTATTACTCTTCTGTACACTATGTTGAATAGCAATTAATATTTTTTCTCCACTCGTTACCTTGTCTACAACTCATATACTTCTATACTTTTCCACCTGCTGTAATAAACAACTATCCTACATTATACCCTTCTCAATGCTTATGCTCTGGCAAACTATACTTTATACTATAGTCAATTAAAGCACTTCATCGATGCCTTACCCACAGTCCATAACTTGTAACTACCTGATAAGCTTGTAAAGTGTTACTTATAGAAATAGTGATTTCCAACAGGATATGAAACACAGAGGATTGTGTGAGGTATGACATATATCCAAAAATAAGCTTAAATGAGCCTAACATCACAAAAGGAGGTAGGGTGGAATTACTGACCAGCAAGCATTGATGGTGAGGTCGATGACTTTAATCTATCCATGTTTGTTGGGGCAGAACATTTTGTATGTATCAGGCTTTTTATGATTGGGAATGAGTCAATCAATCTGTGATATAGATTGTCTCCCTACGACCACCACTCAGACTCATGTTTCCAATTTTATGCTTGATTATCTATTCTACTAAGACAACCTATAACATGCTAACTCGTACTTTTACACTAGGATTGTGTGGCTGGTATCGGATAAACAAAAAATTTACACAACAAAAGATACAGTCATTAGTATTCTTAACACGTCACCCTCTGTATACACACCCTTCTAATTAACCGCTTTCCTTGTACCAGCTTTGATTTCCTTTCCTTCATGTGAGCTTACTCCAACATGTTAAACGACACAACTCATTGTTCTTTATTACTACATTCTCTAATATGGAGCCCCTGAGTTCATTTCACTCTAACAAGAGATAATATGAATTTATTCTAATTTACTATACCTCTCTCCGTTCTACTACAAAATGTTAAGTAACCTTTGGCGTTCATATCCAAGTGCCTTGCACCTCTTCTGTTTCTCTTTTTTCTTCAGAAATTTGCTCTGAGAGCACAGATATGAAACTTCTGGCGTCTGAAACAAACTTGATGTACGCGTCCCCTCAAGATCACGGTTTACAGCAAGCGCCCTACGAGTATACTTTATAACAACTACAAACTTAATAAGTTGCGAAGCATTTTGTGAACCAACAAATGTTGTAATTTAAAGATCATGCCTGCAAAAATGGCGTGTAGCTGCACATGCAGAAATAGATATTTTTATTATTATATTATTATTGTTCTTCTGAACGACATCATCAGCACAAATTCAGATGGAAGTGAGGCGTTCAAATTTCTCCACATGTGTTTCACAGATTCTCCTGTACATCTCGATGTTGATTGATTCTTGTTGACCTTAAACTTGTCATTGTTTACTTCTTTTTTCTGGTCGTATCTCCTATTAGTTTGATTTGTCTTCTTTTGTCATTTCATCCTTTGGTTTGCATGGGACTGATTGTAGGGATTTCGTTGGTTTGTGTGCAACACCTATTCCAAAGGTTTTCAGCAGTCTCGTTGTGGTTTCTGATATGGCTTTTATGTATGGTAGGGCGATCCTTTTGTTGATTTCAATGCTTGACTTGGATTCTGATGATGTATGCGGCCGGTGTTTTTCGGTGAAGTTGACTGGGTAGTCATTCTTTTAAAATACGTCCTCCAGGTATTTCTCTTCATATCAGAAACCGCAACGAGACTGCTGAAAACCTTCAGAATAGGTGTTGCACACAAATTAACGAAATCCCTACAATCAGTCCTATGCAAACCGAATGGATGAAATGACAAAAGAAGACAAATCAAACATCATCTACAAAATATATTGTGCCAACTGCAAAAAACACTACATCGAACAAAGCGGACGCCCTGTTCATCTTCGCCTGCATGAACATCAATTAGCAGTCAAACGCCATGACATGTCCACACTTATATCAATGCACGTGGACAACTGTGGACACTCCTTTGACTGGAAAA